TATACACATTGTGGTTCTCAAAGAGTTAACAGTCCAGCAAAGGTGATCAGACTGCATACATGAACTCATGGGAGAGTGTCAAAGCACTGTAGGTTGCATGAAAGAGCTGTGAAATAATATTTGATCACAGAGGAGGGAGGAATTACTTTAAGTTTGGGTGAGACTTTGTGGTGGAGAAACTATATGGCTAAGCTGTGAGGGCTGGAGAGAGTTTCCACAAATAGAATGAGTAAGAGATGAATATGGGCCAAGCACAGGGATCAATGAGCACAAAGACATGGAAGCAAGGCATTCCATTTTTTTAGTGTGCAGTCACTAGTGAGGTTGAAGCAAGGATGGCATGCATAGGTGGGGTTGGGGGTAGGGGAGATATAAAAGTCAGTGAGGTATGTTGGGGTTTCACAGCAGAGCTCTGAAAAAATGTCTCTCTCAGTGAACTAAGCTCAGACCCCAAAAATGAATTAAATAATGAATCCTGGTAGCTAGGATTGGCTTTTCATGGTAACTCTAGAAAATATTTTCCTAGATATTTTTATACACACAATAGACTTAACATTTGTTAATGATTTTCCATGACCTCTTTTTCATGGAAATGTACTGAATTCTATGTAGTTTGATTCAACTAAAAATGTTTAGTGTCATCTTTGTACATGACCTTGGGCATTGATTGCTATGGCCGAATTCATGCTGTCTCCCCTCCCTGCAATGTGCCTCTTTTCCAGCGATTCCCATCTCAACAATAGATACTTCTAGCCACACAATTACCCAAATCATAAATTTAGGAATAACCCCTAATTCTTCATTTCCTTCACCACTCACTTTCAACTAATCCCTGATCCTTATCATTCTAACACCCCTGGAATTTGTATATTTCTCCTTAACCCCCATCCTGTCTGCAGTCACTACCATCTTTCATCAACCTTCTAGATGATCCTGTGTCCAAGCTAACCTTCCCCAATCCACCCACCACAGATCTTTCTGAAATGTACCACTTCCAATTTCCCACTGGCTCCCAGGCTTATGAAACAGGAGACATGCTCACTGAGCAGTTGCTGAAACCCTCCCATGTGTCTGCATTCCAGCTCTGCTACTTACCTTCCAACTTGACCTTTGGCATCTCACTTATGCAGTCTTTTTATCTATTAAAAAGGAGCTCAAACAAATATTTACTCATTTTAGAATAACTGGGGAGATTTAAATTAATCTGGATCTTCTCTATGAACTTTTAAATTTGAAGTGCCCCTGGATTCTGGTTTCCTTTGCTCTTCAAACTCACTCACTCCTTAGTCATCTCAATGAGTCTTGTGGCTTTAAATATCCAGATACCAATAACTCTCACATTTATATCTCCAGCTTAGATCTCTCTGAACCCTAAATATGTAATCAGCTGTCTTTCTTTCAACCTTTCTACTGGATGGTTAAAAGAGCTAATAGGGCATTAAACTTCACATGTCCTGAACTGAACTTATTTTCCCTGTTTAAACCTGTTTCACTCATAGTCCTTTAATCTCAATTGCTGGACCTTGAGAGCTTCTTTGGAGCACATTCATACACCCTTGACCAAAGAACCATCTGTCTCTATTGGGGAATACCATCCTCTTTGAATACTTTAGGAAGGGGGCACAGGCAGTGGTGAGGGAGAGTGGACATTGACCTAGCCAAACAGATCTGTCAAGTCAACTTTGGAGACCAACAGGGTGACAGATGTCACAACCAGATCGCCCTCACATCCTTAGTCTCAATTGACAACTTAGTTGTCCTTTATTTTCTTCTTGTTCACGCTCCCCATCCACTTGGGGATACAGAAACTGACTTCTATACACACACACACACACACACACACACACAGTTGAAGCCTTGTCACAGCCTCCTAAGTGATCTACTCTGACCCACCTACCCCACTGATAAGTCATATGGTATCACATTTCCTCAAACCCACCCACTTCACAACCAGTACAAGTCAAAATTCTTTAAACAGATTTCAAGAGCCTGTGCAACCAAGTTCCTACCTTCAACCCTGTTAGTTCATCTCCTGATTTACCCATGACTAGTTCTCTACTGTGGTAGAACCTATGTCTTTCCCATTACACCAATATCCTCCCTATGCTGGGACTCCCCACGTATGCTCTGATGTTGAAACCTTTGCACTGCCTATTCCCTTCCCTGGGAAGCTCTGCCCACAGATATTTGTAAATTAATTTCCTCTCTTTCTTTAAACCTCTGCCCAATGTCTCCCCTTAATGAGATTTGCTTTTACTACCATCAATTACTAACTTAAAAATTATAACTTGTGGGCCCTCCCTGGTGGTGCAGTGGGCTAAAGCACAGCACTAAGAAGCTAAAGCGACTTCAGCATGAGTTCAATCCCTGCCCCGAAGGTGACCAAATGGCGCGGCAGACCTCTCCTGACCAGCCTGCTGCTCCCCTCAGCAGTGTACTTTGTCAGTCGGCGTGTTCTGCTCCCCACTCTGTCTCTGGTGAAGCCTCTCACTGCCCCTGCACCTCTGGCCTGTACCCCAGTTCTGTATGCATAAATAACTAAATCTTTTTAAAAAAATTATAACTTGTGGGTATTCCTGGTGGCTCAAGGGATTAAGTCTCAGTACTATGAAGTTATCTGCAGCTGGTGCAGCATGAGTTCGATCCCTGGCCAGGGAGCTACCCAACATAGTGCACCAGACCTCTTTTATCTCCTTGCTGCTCCCCTCTGCAGTGTATTTCAGTAAATCTGCCTGTGCTGTTCCCATGCTGTCTCAGGTGAATACTCTTACCTCTGACCCCAGTTCTTGTATGCATAAATAAATAAATCTTAAAAAAAAGAATAAATAAAAATTATAACTTGCTTTCCAGTCTCATGATATTTCTGAACTCCATTCTGTCTTTTCCCACTTCGTTTGCCACATACTGTATATTTGTTATGTTTATTGATTCTTACCTGTCTTCCCCTCCTAAACCTCCCCCATTAGAATATTACATTACTCCATTACATACATTATGTTTAGGTGTTATGTATCCAAGCAGCAGAACAGTGCTTTGCAACTACAAACAAGTACTACAAAATTAATCACTATCTTGTTTCTACTTACTCTCTTAATCTCATTTCAGGGAAAATGAATGAACTCCCATTCTTGTTCAGTTATACTTAATTCTCTGGTCTCTATAGTTTTTCACATGTACCCTTCTCCCTGCCTTTCCACCACAATGAACTCCATATTCATCTTTCAGTTTCGATTTAGAAGTTCTCTGACCTGGATCAGCCCCCTCCACCAATACCCTTGCCCCACCCTCTACCACATGTGTTCTTTGCTCATAACAGTTTTGTAATTACTTGATTACTTGCTTTTCATTTATCTTCCCAGTTTGACTCTAAGACAACAGACTATGCCTGTGATAGTAGTCATCGCAGTATCCTCTAGGCATGCAGTCCAAGATTTGATACATGGGGAGTATCTCATAAATTTAATTCAATGAATGAATGAGAAATGCCACACTAGTGATGGCATTTTTGCACGTTAGATAACCATTGCTTGGTAAACATGTACAATTGTTTCCTGAGCTGTTTCTCAGTAACAACAATGTATTGCACCTTGTTAATTCAATCCTCACAACTCTACAAAGTAGGTACTATTAGTGTTCTTATTTGAGAAAGTGGGGAACTTTAAATTCAGAGAAGTTAAGGGACTTTCTCAGGGTCAGACACCTGATAAGCATTAGCAAGATTCAAACCCAGGCCCAAAGTCCCTAAGATTGTCTAGTGTCACATCATTCAGACATTTCGATTTTGGGCTTTTCCATTTACTTAGCTCTAAAGTAGTCTATTATCTCTCCTTACCACATATGAAAAGAACAATCGACACCACTTTGAATAAACACTTACAACAAATAAACAAAAATAAACATTTATCATGGTCCTGTTTGTGGAGAAGCTACCACTCATTCTCTGTTTTACCAGAAAACTAGAACCCAGGTAGAGCGACACTCTGAGCTCTAGGTGGACATCAGTTACCAGCATCTCCTGGCATATTTTATTGAATACAAACAATGTGCTCGGCATGAAGGCAAACCCTTTCCACATCTCATCTCACTTAATAATTAATTTTTAGTTAAAATGAAGCTGAGCCTTGTCTTCTGACCTCTTGTCACGCCTTCTGGATCAACTTGACTTGAATCAAGTCTATCTGAAATAGGGGATCAAAGTCATGAGCGCTCCAGGGTAGTTTGAAGAGACCTGCCCAATGCCCTCGATATCAGATCTGAGAACTGAGATTCGGATCTTTAGGCCATCCATTGAGTGTGGTCTGGCTGCGACTGGATGAGGCCTCGGGAATCCAGGTCCAGGGCTCCGGAGTCAGACGCTAAACAGCTAATCTTCTTTACTTTATCAAATGAAAAGGCAGCATGGCTTTTTAAAAACGTACTTAATCGAACAGAGAGTAGTTATTACCACTTATGATGTATTACTCATGATACGCTATTAGATAAATCGTGCCCTAGATATCACATCTTTTAGCATCCCCCACGAGATGCACTCATTCCGCGGTGATGCAGGTGGCAGTGACAGCAGCCTACTTTTGTGACTGGGGGACCAGGTTCCAGGCGGTCCGCAGACTATTTACGACAGCCAATCAAGCTTGGAGTGTCAGAACTGTACCAATAGCAGATTACCGACGTCTCAACAAAAGTCGATTGGGGGCTGGAGCCCTGGAACTGGGTGAGCCGCGGACACCGATCAATCACAGGGGAGGAGCCGAGCACCGACGCCCAATCGTCGACCCTCACACTTCGGAATAGGGCGGTGCCGGCGGTAGGCTCGCGGGCTGGCCAATCAGCGGACGGGAGGCGGACAGTAGGCCGATCCAGGGGGCGGCTGGAGGGGCGGGGCCTATCGATGCCGCGGAACGGTGGGACATGAGAAGAGCGAGGCTGGGTGAGGAGGGCTGGCGACCCGCGTCGGGGGTGGGGGCAGCGCGCGCCGGCAGCCGACAGCGATGGGAGCAGGGACGCCCGAAGGTCGGGGCCGGGGCGCGAGCGGGAAAAGGGCAGAATCACAGGATATCACCGAAAGGACCCTGCGAGCTGCGGGATGTGGTGGGGAGAGATGAGGATCTGAGTACCAGGCTGGGGAGGTAATGCGCGCCGGTGGGGTAGCGGAAGGTGGAGGGATTCTGTTACCATGGCAACGCATGTGTGCAAACTGACGAGGCCCTGGCACCGCGACCCATTTCAGACCCCCTCCTCCCTGCCCCTTAAATCCTCCTCGGGTCTACCTCCGCCCGGAAAAGGCCTCCATCATCCCTGGCTCGCAGGCAGCTAGGCTGAGACCAGCTCAAAAATAACCCACTTAAGGCAGCCGCGTCTCCTTCACACCCTAACTGCTTTCTGTTTTCCTTCCCTTCTGCCATCTCGTCCGCCACCCAAGGGATTAATCTTGCTCTGGGGCTGTTGGTATTATAGGCCTTGCTGATTTCACCAGTTGGCCCGGTTCTCTGGGTTCCAGTGCAGTCACCCCATTCTGGGGACTGGCTCCATAAAGATTCTGCTGTCTGGGGAACCTGGGATATCCCTCAGAGGGATTTTTTGCAAGGCATCCAACACTGAGCCTCATGTATAATAACTATTCAGAGCGGTGGTCTCAGCCTGACAGAGTGACTAAAGACCACAGTGACAGTTTTTCGGTTCGTGGACCGGTGTTGCCCAACAGAAATACGTTACTTAGAAAATACGTAATTTCACATTTTATGGTTAACCACATTGAGAAAAACGAGAGACTAAATTAATTATCCTTAACCCAATATATTAAAAAATAAACAGTTTTTAAATATAGCCATTAGCAGTTGAATGTTATTAAATTGATCCATATTAACTTGTTGAAAAGATAGCTTAAAATGCTTTTAATAAAAAACTTCAAAATTTGGTATCTTACACTCAGCAGTTCTCTTTTGGGGTTATCCACCTTTCCGGTGCTCAGTAACTCCATTTGGCTAATGGCTACTATTTAAGACTGCACAACCACACATAAATTTGTTATATACTGCCTGAATTGTGGCCACATACATGAAATTTAGTAATCCTTGAAGCCTTCTGTATGCAAGGGTGGCACTGTGCAATGAGACAACAAAAAATGTGAGGCATATTTTTTATTTTTCCCAAGGATTTTCCAATCCAGTTGAGAAAATAGGCATCAAAACACTAAGTTGAATTTTAAATGGATATAATTCAGGATATAAGTCAGTAGTAAGGATAACTGAGAGATTGATTGACAAACATGATGATAACTGCATAGGAATTTTAGGAATTTGAAGGAATACTTCAGACTCACGTGTGCCTAATCTTGAAAGATGGCCAAGACCTGGGCTGCTGGAAGAGGTTTTTGGTTGAAATGGAATAACCATTGATATTTTTGATTTTAGGGCTGAAAATTTGCAGAACTTGGCTTTGAGACTGAAAAAGATTTTTCTGTTTCGCTAGCAGTCTCCACCATGATTCACAGCCTTTTCTTGATCAACTCCTCTGGAGATATTTTCCTGGAGAAACATTGGAAAAGTGTGGTCAGCCGTTCTGTCTGTGATTACTTTTTTGAGGCACAAGAGAGAGCTACTGAGGCAGAAAATGTGCCTCCAGTTATCCCTACCCCTCACCACTATCTCTTAAGTGTTTACCGCCACAAGATCTTTTTTGTAGCTGTGATCCAGACAGAAGTCCCTCCTCTATTTGTCATTGAGTTCCTTCACCGAGTAGTGGACACATTTCAGGTGAGTGAATATAAGGAAGTTTAAGTGTGTTGATTATAAAGTGTTTTATAGTTGTGTGTGTTCATTACATTCAGCCTCAATTCAGAAAAATTTTTAAAAGATAAAAACTCTTAACAGTGCTCATTCCCCCCATCCTATAAAATTCTTATTCCTGTTTATTGAATTGGCTACGTCTACAATGATAAATTGATTATTTTGTATGAAAGAAAGCTACTCTACTTGGTATGGTGATATGTAGTCATTTTAATTCTGGAGATTGGTATTATCCTACTTCTTGTTCACAAATCAGAGGGGTTTATTTTCTTTTTTTAGTGTATTGATATTCACTATTTTGAGTTACATCAGAGTGGTGAATTTGTAAATATCTAGATCTGTCAATATATATACAGAATATACATATATTTATATATATTTATATACATATATAAATAATAAGTGAAAAGATCTAAGTAGTAATTTTTTGTGACCCCATATTTCACCTTGAGTTTGGAGTGTTTATCTACAGCATATAAGGAGTAGGGATCAGTTCTCATTGCAAATTTAAAATTGGAAAATCTTCTGTACTGTAAGAATTTCAGTGACACATTTTACAAGAGACTGTTTCTCTTCAATTTGAGTTTCTTTCCGGAATAGATTTGAAGATCAGGGGGAGTGCTGTGTAAGGGAGGTTAAGTAGTGGGTGTTAGCACCTTTGCTAGCATAGGATTTGAGACTTCCCAGATTTCTCAATTCAGATAGTAGAATCCTCTCCCCCAAGGAACTGCTCAACTTCTAAGTGTTGTGGGTTTTTGCATAACTCAGATGATAAGTGAGAAACAAGGGCCCTTTGGTGTAGCTCCGGTGTCATGTGAAGTCTTCAGTTACTCACATGAATAGAGAAATGGTGGAACTACAGAAGAATGAGGACCTAGACATGATAAAAAATTTTAAAAATCAGAGAGTCCTTTCATTTGTACTTATCTACATCACATGTCTAGAACAACTTTTATACCAAGAGAATTAATATATGGTTTAAAGTTTCTCCTGCAAATACTTTCTGGTAGTACTATTCTGGGATTTCAGTTCTCATGTGGTAGACTGGTTTCATCACACAATAAAACCTCCAAATTACAAACCTCAGTATGTGGAGGAACTAAAGCAGAAGAACCCTATAGTTACACACTTAAACTGCTCTAGTTGGGCCTTGTTATGAGTTCCACATGTAGCATTTTACCCCATTCTAAGATTAACATTCCCATTGGTGAAACTCAACATCTGTTTCATGTCACCATAGTGATATTATGTAACATATTACAGATAGGAAGTGAAAAAAGTTGCTTAATCTCGTTGAAATGACAGGAATTTGGGAAGGCAGTGAAGATGTTGGTTTCTAAGTCTGGGGCCTCAGAGCTTGCCATTTTTAAAGCATTTGTTTAAAATAACTGAACACATCCTGATTGCATTGTTTTGTATGATATGTGTTCTCTTCACTGCATAATTTCTTCTTGTACAAATGTGTCAGAAGAGTTTCAACTATAGGATTGTGGCACTTTTGAGATACCATGTTGTTATTCTTACAAGTCTCCGATACCTCAGTTCATATTACAATTGATTTATAAAATTTAGTGATGTGGTGTCTTTTATTTTCACTTTTCCAAAATAAAATTATGTTTGGAAAGAAAGTGTGTAATTTTTTCCTCTTAAATTCTCATTTTTAAATAAATTCTTGACTCCCAAGTGCTCTTGGATATTGGAGTGTTAATTTTAAAATTAACATTATCTGACATAATTTAGATTACAACCAGAGTCTGATTTAATTTTGGAATCTACAATTTGGGTGACATAATTTTGATGTTATATTTTGAGAATATTTGAAAAACCCAGTCTATTAAAAGAAATGGGAAGATGGTGAAGTGATCTAGAAGCCATACCACAGCATGATGGCTCAAATAGGGAATTTGGCTCAAACAGGGAATTGGGCTCTGAGAAAAAATTGAATTGAAAGCTTATAATTACCTCCAAATAACTGTGGGGCTGTAAGATCCATCTTAGGAGTAAATTTTAGTTAAGCAAAGAAAGAACTTTTTAATAATCAAAACTATCCATAAATAGAATGGGCTTTCTCAAAATGGGTAAATTTCCCTTTGGCATCTGAATTCAAAGAGCATTGTGTGACCACCTCGGAATCCAGTGAAAGGTATGACTAACTTTGCTAGAAAGGTGCACACCAAATGACTATGCACATTTCTTTCTATGTCATTTCATTATGCATAAATTACATTTTCATAGTTTTTTATAGTTTACAAAGCACATTCATATATATATTATCATTTCATTAACCATGCTTTGTTCTTATAACATCCCTTTTATAACTGTCCAACAACAATTATACTATCAAAGAGTCAAAACCCAAATTAGTTAGCATGACTTATCTAGTAAGTGATTGTTACTATTATAACTTGTCTTCTGATTTGGAGTCCAGTGATTTTTTTTACACTCAGATAATGTAATGTATAATTTTAGTTTTTGTTAGTAAAAGAACAGTGAGTTTCTAGAATGCTAAGATAGGGACTTTCTGGTGTGCTGATTTCATTCCCCTCATTCACTGTATGAATGTCAAAGAATAGCACAAAAGTAAAGTTTAAAAAGATCTTTATGTTCAATCTATTCCATATCAATTATTATCATTCTATAATGATTCTTTTAAATCTTGTTCACCAACACATATAGTAGTCTAGATTCTATTTGTTTTTTTTAAATTTGATGAAATTGACAGTTTTGTTAGTTTCAGACTACAGTATAATGGTTTGACGTTTGTCTACATTCCAAAGTGATCACCATACTTTAATTTTTTTTCTTATAACAACTATAGTTACTGTGCTGTTCATTATATTCCCATGACTCATTTTTAGATTCAGTTTTTTTTTATTCTAGTTGAGTGAATTGATCCAAAAGATTAAGTGCTTTAACCTAGTTTATAAGAAGCTAGCAGTGACACTGTAAACCAGTTTGACTTCTTTCTACCACACCAGGCTGGCTTAGAGAACTATGTTCACTATAAAATTTCCTAGAAAGTCTGAGTAAACACAAATGAATGGGACTAGATCCTGATTCTCTAGGAAAACATTCTTTCACTTTTTTTCAGCCTTTTTTAGTGATCAATGTATATTATATTTTCATCAGGATTATTTTGGTGTCTGTTCAGAGCCAGTTATCAAAGACAATGTGGTTGTCGTTTATGAGGTATTGGAAGAGATGCTTGACAATGGATTTCCATTGGCCACGGAGTCAAACATCCTCAAAGAACTGATAAAACCCCCCACTATTCTTCGAACAGTGGTCAATACCATAACAGGTATGGAGAAGGGAGGGAACCAAAGAAAGCTGCTGCCATCTTGGTGTGGCTTTGTCTGGAGCTATGCTTTGAGTGTTTGTTTTTAGAGATCATAAGTGTTCAGCTGGTTTAATTTGTCTTTGAGTATGATTTGCAATAATTCTTTTGTAATGTAGAAAATACCTTGATTTCAATGACAGAATGATCTCGTTCTCATTTAAAAATATATTTTTTTCTCCTTACAGTAGAAGCACATGATTAGTGTAGAAACACTGGATCTGCAAAGAAGCACAAAGAACATGAAAATAACTCTTTAACTCCACCACACTTCTAATATGCTGATATGTGAAATAACACTTGTATAATTTATTAAACTTACCTTTAATCAACACTTTGCAAAAATGTTATGCTATTATGATAAATATTCCCCTACATCACTTTTTGTGACTTTATATTTTTCTGCCATTTGGAATAGACTCAGTGTTACTTGCTCAGTTTTTACTTATGATTTTTCTGATTTTTTGTCCTTTTAAGTAAAAGGGAATTAGCATCCTTATACTTCAATCTTTGTGTAATCAAGGATGATTTTTTTCTCTATATGGAAATGGCAGTACTGTATAAAAGTTTACACACATTTTAAGGACCTTAACTCACTATGTCACTATGTCTACTCCAACTGATGCTTTTAGTTGCAATTTCCTTGCAACCTAGACTACTATGCCATCATCATTTTTTCTTAAATTTGGCAATTTGATAGTTTAATTGTATCTTATTATTTAACAATTTTGTTCCTAAGGAAGTTGAAATCTGTTCAGTTGCTTATTGACTATTTTTCTTATATTGTAAAATACCTTTTTGGGTCCTTTGCCCATTTTTAAGTGTTTTTTTTTTTCATACTGAGGAGAATTCCTGTCACTTAAGGTTATAAAGTTATGTATATATTGGAAATACACAACTAATTTCAAGGAGCTCTTTATGAATTTTGAGCTCAAAAATTCATATGTTACAGTTATTTTCTCACAGTCTAACATTTGTCACTATATTAACATTGCTCATGATGTTAGTTTACTCACATAAAATTTTTTTGATTTAGGCAAATTATTCTGTCTCATTAAAGTTTTACATTTTGGATCTTGCTTAATAACAAGATCCAATCTGAAAAATATATCTTTTGACAAACTGAAAAATACATCTGTAGAAGTATAAAAATACAACAATGGCCAAGATAATTTTGAAAAAGAATTTACAAAGGGTTTGGAAGGATTTGCCCTGTCAAATATCAAGTCATAATAAGACATTACATTTGTATAGAACATGAGACAAAACTCACAAAATATAGTATAAGATCTCGAGCAGTTTTAAAAATAAGCAGTTTTTAAAAAGAGCGAGAGAGAAAATGTATCTTATCAGATTCAAGATAGGAAGTTTAGGTAATTTTAAAAATATAATTTAAGCACAATAATAGACAAATAGATAATTGGGATAAAGAGAGTTCAGATATAGACCCCTTATAAAGGAATTTAGTATAAATAGATGTGCTCATATATCAAATTAGTGGATCAGGAACCAGTTGGTAAATATATTTTGTTGAGACAGTCAGCTTTTATATGTGTGTATGTGCATATGTATGTATGTGTATATGTGCACATACATACATATATGTATATATAACTAAGTTGCACTACTTAATCTATACTCAAATTCTAGATAGTCAAAGAGTTAAACATTTAAATTGTTAGAAGAAAACATAGGAGACTATCTCCTTGATCAGAGTAGGGGTGGTCTTTCTTTACAGTGTATTTCTTCCTGGTGGCTTTATGACTTTGTTTTTAGGTTGAATTTTTAAAATCATCTTGGAGATTATCTTGGTATATAAGATATAAGGCTTTCTGTTTCTCTAAAATTATATTAGTTTTCCTAGCACCATTTATTGAATTCTCAGTTTTAAAATGATATTTTCTCTTGTACTAAGTCATTGTGGATTCTTGATCTGTTTTAGGCTTTCCTATGATAGTACTTTGTTATAGTCCAGTGAGATGTTTTAATAATAGTACTCTTTTTAAAATAACAAATTTGCTGTTTTTATCCTGGGCTCATTTAAACCTTAAAAACTTTATTAGTGCTGAATCATTTGTGAATACTATGAAGTCATTTTTCTGAATTTCACTTATGTCTAGAAAAAGATATCTGAGAACCACTGTTGAAAAGCTGACATGGTTTGTAAACATGCCCAGTTTATCTTTGTTTAATGCTATTTTCTTTAGATTAAAAAGATCCAAGTTACATAAAAGGAAATAACTTTCAAATTTCAGTGTAATTATTAAATTGCAAAATATATTTTTCAATGTCTATCTGGGAAAAAATCAAGTCAAGGAACTGATTTTTAGATTTACAGCAAAATCTAGTTTGTATTGTTTTCCTAAGTTTCAGTTTTGGTGGAAGAGAGATTATGTTGGCACATAATACATTTTAATACCTAGTGTGAATGTGCCTCAGAACCTATCTCAAAGTAGAATGTTATTATCTATGAAAATTTTATAAGAATACATAGATTACCACATTTACTGAACACCAGTATATTATTTAAATGCAAGCAATTGTGGAATTTGAGAAACCAAGTTCAGGTTTCTTTTAAAACTAAAATATGATATCTGTTTCTCAGGTAACTTTTGAAAGCTTTATCCTGCTGACAGGGCAGACCAGATGGCAGCTAGTTATAAAAATTGACTGAGTTATACATAGAGAAATTAGGAAAACTCCCATTTTTAAAAATTCTTCAATTGAGTGCATGAATAGTGAGAGCATAGAAATTTCCAGGAAAGTGTTTTATAGTGATTAGATAATTGACTATATCCAATTAGAATTAAATTACATTACACTAACATTTATTACTTTAGGAAGCACCAATGTGGGTGACCAGCTACCCACTGGGCAGCTGTCAGTGGTGCCTTGGCGACGAACTGGAGTGAAATACACCAACAATGAGGCCTATTTTGATGTGATAGAAGAGATTGATGCCATCATTGATAAATCAGGTAGGTCCTTTTAATGAAAACAGAAGTATGAAAAAAAAATAGAACTATGAAAGCCCTTTTCATATAACATAATGCATGTTCGTTTCAGAATTAATTCCCCAGTTAACATTTATTTTAATTTCTTGCCTGTTTTGTGTAAGGCAATGTGCTAGTCCTGGGAATGGACTTAAATGTTGTTATGCAGATGGCATATCATATATGTCATCTAAAGAGTTAACAAAAACTGTTAGATTAGTAAACAAATTCAGTAAATTTTTGGGTTATAAAATCAACAGTAGTGTTTCTACACACTAACAATGAACACTGCAAAAAGGAAATTAAGAAAATAGTCTTACTTTCAATGGCAACAGTGAATAAAGTTAATCAGTGAGGTGAAAGATTTGTACACAGATTATTACAGCAGTTTGATGAAAATTAAAGAAGGCATAAATAAATGGAAATACCATCTATGTTCATAGATTGGAAGAATTAATACTGTTAAAATGCCCATAATATTAAAATCAATCTACAGATTTAATACCATCCCCATTAGAACCCCAGTTACCTTCTTTATCAAAATTCTGAAGTTCATATGGAACCACAAAAGACCCTAAATAACCAAATCAGCCTTCAGCAAGTACAGAAGCACTGGAACCTTCACAATTCCTGGTTTTGAAATATATTACAAAATGGCAGCAATCAAAAACAGTATGGCATTTTCATTAAAAACAGACATATCAACCAGTGAAACAAAATAGAGAACCCAGAAATAGATTCACTCACTTAGAGTCAACTAATTTTTTAACAAGAACACACTATATGCTAAGGATAGACTTTTCACTAAAAGGTGTTGGCAAAACTGGATACCCACATGCAGAATAAGGTTGCACCCTTACTTCACACTACAGAAACCAACTCAAAATGAATTAAAAACTAAAACATAAAACCTATAACTGTATATTACTAGAAGAAAATAAAGGGGAACTGCTTCTTCACACTGATCTGTGCAGTGACTGGTTAGATAGAACCCTAAAAGCAAAGACAACAAAAGCAAAAATAGACAAATGAGTGTACATCAAATTAAAAAGCTTCATAACAAAGGGAACAGTCAACAGAGTCAAGTAACAAACAACAAACAGGAGAAAATATTTGCAAGCCATGTAACTGATAGGGAGTTAGTATCCAAAAATATATAAAGAACTCATTTAAATCAACAGAGATAGATTGGGAAAAAAGGCTTGCTTTAAAAAATTGACAAATGGGGCCCTTCCTGGTGGTGCTACAGGTTAGGACGCAGCACTGCAAGCTGGCAGCAGCATGCAAATTCTATCCCCGGCCCTGGTGGTGACCCACATGGTACAGCAGACCGCTCCTGACTCGCCTGCCGCTCTCCCCAGCAGTGTACTTTATCAATCTGTCTGTTCTGCTCACCACTCTGTCTCTGGTGAATCCTCTGGCTTATACCCCAGTTTTGTATACATAAATAAATAAATCATTAAAAAAAATAGACAAATGACAGGTATTTTTCAAAAGAAGATAGACATATAAGTGACCAACTATATATGAAAAGATGCTTAATATCAGTAATCATCAGGGAAATGCAAATCAAAACTACCATACCTGTTAGAATGACTCAAAAAGAAAAAAATAAAAGCTGATGAGAGTGTGAAGAAAGGAAACCTTTGTGCACTGTTAATGAGAATGCAAATTAGTGCAGCCACTATGGAAAACAGCATGGAGTTTCCTCAAAAATCAAAAGTGGAACTACCCTATGATCCAGCAATTCTGTTTCTGGGTAGATGTATCCAAAGGAAATGAAGTAAATATCTTGAAGAGAGATCTGCACTTGCATTTTATTGTAGCATAATTCAAGTAACCAAGATTTGGAAGCAATGGAATACTGTAGAGAAAAAGAATGACCTATTAATATACCTGACAACATTAATAAATTTCACAGTATTGAGGCAAAAAGTCAGATGCATAAATATAGTGTGATTGCTTTTGTGTGGAGTTTGAAAACAGGGCAACTTAATCTAGGTAATAGAAGTCAGAAGTTAGGCATGGGTATTCATCTAAGATGGGTATAAGGACATGCAGGGATGCTGAAAGTCTGCATCTTGGGATGGGGGAGGAAGGGTTGCCTAATTACATACAGTGGATTTTAAAGTTCATTGAGGTGTACATTTAAGACTTTTGTACTTTAGGTTTCACTTAAATGAGAAAGTGAAAGGCAAAAAAAAAAAAACAAAATTAAATGGCCAGATCATGAAGAGCATTATATGCCATTTTCAGGGGGATAGTTTAGAACAATTGAAGAGTTTTAGGCTAGGCAGTAACTTGATCAGATTTGTAGTGTAGAACTATCAGCCTCGATATAGTGTGAAGAATGGCTTGAAGTGGGGAAAGTAACTGCAGACGGGGAAAGCAGCAGGCTGTTGCTGAAGTCCAGGCACAACATAGAGATATCTGTAATGCCAATAAGTGTGAGGAGGGGGGAGGAGATTTAAGAGATAGAAGTCTTGGGAAAGAGGAATTGATCATTGATTAGATCGATGCTGGCCCTGAAGAAATAGTCAAGGATGATCTATGTTTCTAGCCTGGGCAGCAAGATCGATTGTAGCATGGAGCTATGGAAAGTAGGAGCAGATCAGGTACTGAGAATGAATGCACTTTTTGACGTACAGAGTTTGAACATCCACGGGTGTCAGCCTACGGACTGACAACACAAAGTGGAGTTGTTCAGCTGGCAGGAGTGAAGCTAAACTATAAAAAATATTAGGAAATGATTGTCCACAAGTGAAAAGTAAGGCCCTGGAAAGTATTAAAGTATTTCAAGGAGAATATTGAGCGAAAGAAAAGTTCAGAACTGTGGAAAAATGGACATCTAAAGGCTGTGTGTAAAGAAGCAGAAACCTGCAGAAGGCACCAAGGAAGAGGAGCTAGAAAAATAGAAAACTAAGAGAAATGTATATTTTGAAAAGGAAAAAGTGATCAATAGTGACCACTGCTGCAGAAAGATTGTAGTATAAAGACCAAAAGTGTCCATTCAATTTAACTGCAAAGCTTATTGGTGACCTTAGGGAGAGTGTCTGATATGAAATTTTCTGAACCATTGGTTAAGATCATGACATTCTGTTTGCTTCTGGTATTAGATTGAAAATTCCTTTAGGCTAGTTACTATCTCATTAATCTTTTATTCATCCCTATTAATTTATCACAGTGTGTAATACTTGATATAAGTTGATAGATGGTTAGAAGGATGGACAAATACTGGGCTGTTGGAAAAGTTACGATGTATTTTTCTGTTTTCCATGCAAACATGCATGTTGACTTTTCTGACAAACCACTAGGTTGGACAGATGATTCTGTCCAAGAAGGACAGCGGAAAAGAAGAAAGAATGAAGGAGGGGCAAGGAAAGAAGAAAGAAAAAGAAAAAGAGATGGTTAAAAGAAAAGGAGGGAGAGAGACATTAATTTAAGTGTTCAGTTGTCTCTTCCCTGCTTTTTGTCTTATCTCTGTCTCAGGTTCTACAATTACTGCTGAGATCCAGGGGGTGATCGATGCCTGTGTCAAGCTGACTGGAATGCCAGACCTCACACTCTCCTTTATGGTAAAATTCCGGACCAGAGATGTAGATCTTAGGATGTGAAATTGAATGCTTCTGGAAAGACAGGGTGATGAGAATGGAATGGAACATGAGTAGATAACTAAGCCCCAGAGCTTATATCAGGCTTGAATTTTTTATAAGTAACTGTAGAATTTGTGGGGGTGGGGTGGGGGGGAGCATATATATATGTGCTTTAATAAAAACAGCACCTAAATTACTCTACTGAAAGAAATGTGGGTGTTTAATTCCTGCTTCCTGTTTTTCCTTGTCTGGTAACTGTAGAACCCAAGGTTGTTGGATGATGTCAGCTTCCATCCCTGTGTTCGTTTTAAGCGCTGGGAATCTGAGCGAATCCTCTCCTTCATCCCTCCTGATGGAAACTTCCGCCTGCTCTCTTACCATGTCAGTGCACAGAAGTAAGCAGCCTTTACCATTAAGAATGGAATCTGTAAATATGTGTGTGCGTGGAAATGGTATCTGTAGTGATTGAGAACTCAAGCTCTGGAGTTACTTGGGTTCAAATTCTAGCTTCTATACTTACTGATTGAGTAAGACCCTAGATGAGTCGCTTAACCTTTCTTTGTTTGCTTATCTGCAAATTGAAAAAAAAAATGATGAAAATTAAATAATAGAACTAAGTAGTGTTTGACACAGACACAAAGTGCTTAAAAAGTTTACTGACAGTTTTGTTAATGTGTTCTGAATAAGAACTTTTTTCTTAAATTGGAATCTAAGTATACTTTTATTCATTCAATCCATTTACCCACTCCCCATCATTAAATTAGGCTATGAAAAACCATAAAATGCAGCGGTTTTTGGTCTTGAATATTTTCTTTAAGATAGAGTCTCAGTTTTTTTGGACACCCTGAGTAGGGGTGAGTGGTAGAAAGGATACAGAAGAATCACACAGTGGCAAGGAAAGTACCTTAGTGCTTGCGAGCAAAGACTCTGAAATCAAACTCTATTAGACTTCAAGGCCATCAGTATTTATGATGCAAGTTATTTAATTTCAGGTAAGAATAAGGACATCAGGGGCTCTCTCTGGTGGCGCAACGACTTAAAGCACTGTGCTATGGTGCTCTCTGAAGCCACTGCAGCATGAGTTCAATACCCAGCCAGGGAGCTGACCCACATGGTGTGGCAGGCCTCTCCTGATCTGCCCGCTGCTCCCCTTAGTGGTGTACTTCGGTAGATCTGCCTGTTCTGTTCCCCACTCTGTCTCCAGTGAATCCTCTCAACCCCACATCTCTGGCCTGTACCCCAGTTCTGTAACCATAAATAAATACATCTTTAAAAAAAAAAGAATAAAGACATCAGTATTCATCAATAAAACCAGGAAGGTAGCAGGCCCTACTTCATAGTTACTGGGAAGAGTAAATGAAATAACAGAGACGAAGCACTTGATAGAGTGACTGGCACAAAGGAAGTGTTCAGCAGATGGTAAGAATCATTATTTATTCTATGACTTCTCTGTTCCCTCTGCTGTCAAATCATGACAACATGTTTACTTCATAGGACCTGGTCTGATCACAAGAGGTAAAAACACTCTTAAGAAGTATTCAAAGATCATGAGTTATGAATATTACTCTCCAAGTATAGTTAATTATTGGTCACCTAATTTTTGACCATAATACCTGCCTCATAGCAGTATTAGTGTCCTCTTTCACTGTGTCCTTGTTACTCAGAAAGTCAATAGGAGAGTCATTAGAAGAACTGTTTACTGACTAGTCAGCATCTTAACTTTATCAAAAGAAAAAAATAAAGTTTACCTGGTTTTTTTCCCTGTACTTGATTTTTAAAATTAGTAAAAAAGTAGGTCTGGGAGGAAAAGGTAAGGTTTTGCTAAGGCAAAAAAAAAAAAAAAAAGTAAAGTAAAAACATAGTATAAAGGGAGAACATTGCCATTTTCCTTTACATTAATTAAGTAGACTTGTGGTGTCTCTCCTTCCCAGCCTGGTAGCAATTCCAGTGTATGTTAAACATGGCATCAGTTTCCGGGACAGCAGTTCACTTGGACGCTTTGAAATAACGGTGGGACCTAAGCAAACTATGGGGAAGACCATAGAGGGAGTGATTGTCACCAGCCAGATGCCCAAAGGGGTCCTGAATATGAGCCTCACTCCATCTCAGGGGACGCACACATTTGACCCAGTTACCAAGGTAGGAGGACAAGAAGGGCTTTATTATTACTACTGCATTTATTTATTTATTTTCTTTCATCATTGATCATTTTGTCCAGTATTAATTTTCTTCTCAGGTGTAGTCCCTGTAGTTCTCCCACCACCATAGCACCCATGATCTATCAGCACAGTCCTTTACTCTCTTCCCTTCCCTGTTTTGACTTTTCTCCTTCCCCCTCCCCTTCTGGATGCTTCAGATCTATGGACAAGTTCTGTCTTTTTTCTGACTCTTTGTTCCGTATCTCTGTATTCCACATATAAGTGAAACCATCCAATATTTATCAATTTTCCTTCTGACTTATTTTGCTTAGTATAACCCAGAAGGATGTTTTGAATTGCCACTGTTAAGAAATGACTCTGCAGAAGTTATAAATATAAACTTTATGATTTGGTAGAAAGGGGGATTCAGTAAAGGAAAAAATTATTTTCTCATTGAGATAGTTGATGGAAACAAATTGTTCTCTACTGAGAAATACCTTAGAGGCAGCTTGTAACATTGGCTTCCCTGGTGGCACAGGGGTTAAAGACAGTGCTATCACGCTATGGTCAGCCACTGCAGCGTGAGTTCAGTCCCCAGCCAGCCAGGAAGCTGACCCACTTGGCACCTCAAACCTCTTCTGTGTTGGCCCCACTGTTCCCCTCAGCAGTGTATTTCAGTCTGGTTCAGTGCCTATTCTGCTCCCCACTCTTGTCTCTGGTGAATCTTCTCACCTCCTCCCACACTTCTGACCTATACCCCAGTTCTTGTATGCATAAATAAATAAATCTAAAGAAAACATTGTGAACAGATTCCCTGAGTTTAGAACCTGGCCACCTCAAAATAAGTTATTTTTTCCCCCTTTTTCCTTTGAAGATGCTGTCTTGGGATGTAGGAAAAATAAATCCCCAGAAGCTACCAAGTTTGAAGGGAACTATGAGTCTTCAGGCTGGCGCTTCCAAACCAGATGAGAACCCTACAATTAACCTGCAGTTTAAGATCCAGCAGCTGGCCATTTCTGGTAAGTGACCCACAGCGTAGGTGGCTTTGAAGAGAACAGAAAAGGCACAGACATCAGAGAGCCATGTGGTGGCTCCCTTTGTTTGTACCACACCAGTTTGGTCTCATCGCCTGATATGTAATCTTCAGTAAAATCTTTCCTGGCACATTCTGAAGGAAGTTTATAATCCTTGCTTTGAAATCGCCTTAAGTGACCTGAGTAAAAGCGTCTAAGACACACATGAGAAAGAATGTTGATAGAACATGCTCACAGGCAGCCGTTGAGTCATCCTTGGGCTATTAATTTGTGGTTCCCAAGGTTTTCAGTGTGGGAATACTTACACATCCTCAACTAGTAACTGAAAAGAATCATTTCTCCTCCTTGATCACGGTTTCAGAAGACTTTCCTGTTTGCTTTTATTATCATTTGGAACTATTGATCTCTCAGATGAGTCCACTATAGTCTGCCCATCTCCTAGGATGTCAGGAATAATAATGATCATTATTCACCGGGATTTACTATGTGCCAAGCACTGTTTCAGCTCTTTCGTCTATTTTCATATTTAATCTTTATGGCGACCCTATAAGATAGATGTCTTTAGCTTTATATGAAGCTCTTATGTTGAACTACAGTTATTACTTTGTCTATCTTAAGTGATTTATACTTTCATTTAAAGTATAAATTATTTCATCTTAAAACAATAATGGTGAAAGCTATATATAGCATAAAATATTGTTTGCTTAGTACAGCAGGGATACTTAGGGAATATTCATTTATCTTTTTTCATTTGCTAATTAGTTTTCATTATTCATTCACTTATTTTATTATTCCTTCACTATTTTGCTATTATTATTAGTTCATGTGTTCTGTCCAGTAACTTGAAAAAAAGAGCCAGTGATCTTATTTTTCCTTTTCTGCATTTCAGTCTGCATTTTTTCCTGCCCATTTCACTTCAGCAATAGATCTTATAACAGTGTAGCTTGTTGGCACTGTTTTCTACCAATGTACAAGGAGAAAAGATTTCCCCAGCTGCATATAAATGAGATAAATAAGTGAAAATAGTTTGCTGGTACATTGTTACAATAATACTCTGTACCTCTCTGAATTGAAATAAATTTGAGTAGTTATACTGCTTGCTTCTTTGGAGTAATGAACGTGTCTTATTGTCCCTTCCTTCCAGGACTCAAAGTGAATCGTCTGGATATGTATGGAGAAAAGTACAAGCCCTTTAAGGGAATAAAATACATGACCAAAGCTGGGAAGTTTCAGGTTCGAACCTGAAAGAAGAGTTTATAAAAGGAGCAGTCACAAACACTTTTTCATTTCTTACTTGTCTAAAAGTAAAAAAAAAAAAGCAGCCTGTCTCCTAGGTCAGTCCCCTCCTGGACCCACCCGCTCCCTGTTTTCCTTAGCCTTCAGTGCCATGGAACTAATCAAGGGAGAAAGGGTCGCCAGGGAGAACTGGACAGAACTGAAACACAATCAGCACCAACTCAGTTCGCAGAAGAGATGTGCAATGGAGGGTGGAGAGACTTGATACCATATTTAACTCGTTCTAATGTGGTTACCATAGAAAGGGACTAGCATTTGTTACTCGCTTGGCTTTCATTATCTAAAGCCAATGAAAGACTTTTTTGTTTTTGTTTTCTAAGGTAGAAAGAAAGATTAGAAAGAAAGGAAGCTTGGAAGAAAAATGTTAGTTAAGGAAAGGCCGGGTAAGAGTCTGGTTCATGAGGGAGAAGAAGGAGGAAGCGCAGTATAAAGTGGTAAAGTGAAAGTGGTCAGGCTCCATGAGGAGGAGGAAGAGGAGGAGGCCGGGGAGGACAGAGTTGAGTTAGTTTCTGATCCCTCTACTTTCATATGTGTGTGTGTGTGATATAAATTTATAGAAATGGACTGGAGACATCTTAATTTCAAGTCCACTGTTTTAACTATTGACATGAAAAACATAGTAGAATCAGACTTTCCCTTAAGAACTGATGCAATCTGAGCAGTTTTCAGATACTGAATTGCTGCTCATCTTTAGCGCTTCGCTGTCATTCTCAGTGAAACGGTGACCTGCTCTCCTCCTGCTGGTGCTTGCCTGAAATGCTGCTTTCCCTAAAACCAAAACAACCCCGTTCACTGTACAGAGTTTACCAGCCTTGTCCTAAAAAACATTTCAGAAAAGCCAATCCCATACCCCCAAGGGCAGCCATGTTTTATGTCACAGTGTTGAAGCATAGAAGGCCACCTCTTTTGCCATGAAGGTATACCCCAACCTAAACCATCAAGATTCCTTATTTGTGTTTGGCAGTGCTAGACAGCTGGGGAGTCTACGCCTTCCTGTCTCAAACGTCCCCATCAGTTACCATTGAAGGTCCCGTTGATCCTTGAAGGCACTGAGCACAGTAATGTTATTTCCTCAGAGTCTTGTTTTGTGTTAAGAGTACATTTATTAATAATAGGTACTTACCAATCTATGTAGAACTAACGTAGGAAGATGGGCTTTGTTGCTCGTACATAACCCAGTTTAAAAAAGATGGCAACTGAAGGAGAACCTCAGTCTTCCCCAGTGGGTAATTTTTATCTTAGTTCAGTGTGTCCATTACTGATTTAAATCTAAATATGACAGTTTTTTTTTTAATTACAACTTAAAGAGTGATAGTGTGCTCTGCTTCATGCATGGAGAAGAATGAAGACCTATACTCTCCAAATCCTACAATTGTTCTCCTAAGTCCTCTTTTGAAAGACTTAAGCAATTTTGTGCTAGTTTTATCTCCCTATTTCCCAGACTTGTTATTGCTGCAGAGTGATATTGCTTTGTGGTACGCTCTGGAATAAATTGTGCTGTAAACAACCAGATGTGTTTTACAATCCATCACTCCAGGTACTGTCCTGGATTACGACATCCCATATATACGCCTGCCATACTAGAGGAAGCCATCTCTGTGGTTCTGAAATACTTGGTATTGTTTCACCTAAAGGCTCTGTAGGATTTTCAGACTTCCCAGGTCACAGGAAGCAACCTTAGATCCTGAATTGGTTTTAGATGTACCGGTCCTCCTGTTTTATTTCCTCCAAGCTGCTCATCCTGATTTCAAGAGAAAAACTTAATGGAGAAATAGAGTATCTAGAGTATGTGACTTGCAGGCCTCAACATGTGAAGTAACTGTCCTCTCACCTGTGTAGGTGCAGACTACTGGGTTACAGGATTTCTTTGCTGTCACTCAGAGGTGTGTCAGCATAAGTAAAATCAAGGTCTCTGTCAAGCTGTTTGGTTCCATATGTGCTTGATGTGTGCAGAAATATCTTCTGTTTCAGTCTTAATAAAGTTGCATTCTATCAGTCTCCTATGCCCTAGTATTTTGTTACTAGGAGTAAAGATAATGCTGTATCACGCATGCCTCGGCAAAGCAGTAAGAAATAAATCCAGTCATGAAATTCTTACTACTATTGTACTTTTTAATCAGTGGCCATATGTATATTTGGATTTTCTAGCCACCTCTGAAAGGATAGGGCATGGTGGTGTTAATGTTATTCTTGAAGCTGTACAAGCAAGTCGCTACCAATTCTTTTTTCCTGCTGAGTAAGAGATAAAACTGCTAATGTCTGTTTTAGTACTTTTCCCACCCACTTGCTCTTTTTTGTCAGGTTAGTGACTGCAATATCCAGGCTTCTGGATCCTAGACTTCTTGGTTGTAGAGATTTCTTAGAAGATCAGACAATCAACAATTGGAGTCTGATTATTCTTTCCTGTGCTAATTTCCTGTTGTAAATGACCCGTGGCTAGGAAGATATTAAGATTTCTATTTACTAAGTATAAACCATAAATAGAGTAGGAATTATTTATCTTAGCGATGTTAATATCTCTTTTTCCTTGATAAGCTGTGTTGGTCGCATGGTATAACCTGGGGGACTTACAGTACTGGTACTTTCCTCTATTACCAGTAGGTGGCGACTCAGTGACAGCAATGAGATTAGTTTTTTAATTGTTGTAATTTTAAAAAGGAAATTGAATTTGAAACGTTCAGACGTTTCCCAAGACCCCAAGTCCTGGTGTGTCTTTGGCTTTTAAAATTAAGTGTGGAACCAAAAATTCATTTTGACAACCAGGCTAAATCTTGAGGCTCTGGAAGGGTAGCCATAGCAATCATCTGAGTTCCTTTAGGTCTTTGTCCATTAAAACTAATAGTACAATTACCTGAGAAACTTTGTTTTCCTTTGGACTGATTACTATCTGTTGGTTTTATTGACAGCTGGGGATTATGAGGAAATACTATTTCATTTCCTTGATATTTGTTTCCTTCACCTGGTAAGTTCCAGACATTGTGTCATGAATTTCCTCCCCCACACTGGGTAACTGATGTGTTGCTCTTTGAGGGTATTCTAATTCAAATGAATCTGTTTTGGGGTGGAGGTGGGGGCCAGGACTTGACCCTGTAGCTCCATCAGTGGGCTCTTCTGAGCAATTGTCTTCCTTCAGTCTGCTGTCTCCAGGGCTTCACTCAGAGGAATGCTGGCATCTTTTAACTTTGCATTTCCATCCCAGGAGGCCTTACTGCTTCAGTTCATTTCATTAACCCAACTATTTGAAGAAAACCGTGTCTTGCGAAGGGGAGGAGATGAACCCAGCTGAATTCCTGCCAAAGATGCAGTGGCTGGGATTCTAACTTACTGCTCTCCAGGCAGTGTTTCTTAGAAACAGCTAAGGCCCATAGCTAAGTAAAGTAGGGCTGCCAATTGCACCAGGGTACTTGTAAGAAGAGTAATCTGAAGTCAAGAAATCATTGGTTTAAGTTTCTCTGATCTGTATTTATTTAATCAATCCATCCATCATTTCAGGAAGTTCTCCCTACCCCCACCCCAGCCAAGCTCTTGGTCTCTTTTGTCAGTTGAAACTGCTGTTCTTCTAAGAATCTCTAAACTGAGCAGTATTGACAATCTCTCAACTTCTGACAACTGCTAACACTTTTCTCCTTCCGAGAAACTGTCAGCATAGATCTAATAGTAAGCCTTACATCATCAGATTTATTCGGACCTGGAGTGTCAGTGATGACCAAATTGTCAGGTGGCAGCAGCCATATGGGTTGTATCTCCAAAGTAGGTAAAGAAGGAAGTAGTCAAAGAGAAATCATTTTGTGTAGGTAACATTTGTAGGGACTGGCCTGGGCATTCATTCTTTCTGATGGGCAGGGAGAAAATAGAAGCCCGAAGAATAGCTATTCTAGTATGAACCAATTATTAAGCTGTTGCTAGATTAACCAGGTCATGTGTAGCTCCTCTTATTCCCTCGTTCCTCTTTTCTACTATCACCAATGCTGTCCTCCCCGTCCAGTGCCTGTTCTCCTTCCAGCCTCTGGAGCCTTTGCCCAGTACCTGTTCTCCTTCCAGCCTCTGGAGCCTTTCCTACAGGAAGCTCAGTTCATCAATCTCTCAAGCAAAAATCTCACTGATTCCTATTGCCTACATACAACATTAAGTCCAAACTCAATTTGTTGTTCAAAACTCCGTAATGTAAATTCCAGGCATGCTTCCTTCTTCTTCATGAACTTCAGATAAACTTGATTATGCCATTACTCCCAGATTTCCACTGCCTTTTTTGCTCTCCAGATCTTCATGTTTTCACACATGCAGAGGTATTCCTTGCCTGAAGAACGCCTTCCCCATCCCCAACTCTCCCCCAGTCCAAATCTCACCCAGTATCGAAAACTCTACTTAATTCTATGCTTAGAATTCACTCATCTCTTCTGCAACTGAAGTCCAGTGAAAATTTCCCACTGGCATTTTGTGTCCATCTCCAATCCCCCTTATTTCCCTATAAATACCTTATTTTCTTGACAAAGCAAGGACACCTCTCTCCCCATCTTTCAATCCCACAGCACCTACCACTCTGCCTTCTGTGTAGCAAGTACCAATATACAGTACATGATTGAAAGAAAATATTTCAAATGATTTTTAAAATGTAGCAAACTGACTACCATGAATAAGCTGTGAGGTACGACATGGGTGAAATAATCCACTCTGATCTGTGGAAAATATATCAGAATTTATTATTTTAGGACAGTATAGTACAGCATTGTGAGAACAGGAAAAACTAAAATAGATTGCCATAAATATGCTAAAACCTAGTTTAGCAGCTATAACAATGATACCATTTTATTATGAAACTTTAAAGGAAAAAAGATTTACACTGTACAGAGTAGGAATCCCTTCTGACAACTACAGAGAAAGGGAAAGCCACCTATTTACTGGACTTAAAGGTCAATGCTGAGGAAAGCGAGCTGGCCAGCCAGCCGTCCTTAACAGGGGGTCTCGGCTTCCTTGCCATCATAAATAGACATTCTGTTTCTATTGCAGTCCTTCTCGAAAGATCTAGTTAATCTTAACTCTGGAGACATGCTTTTTATCTGTGTAGCTCCATTTCCACAGGGAGGTTGGGCTGGTGCACCTCTCATCTACCCTAGCAGACAGCAGTGTTCCTGGAGGGATTAGTGTCTAATACACATTCTGAATTGAGACCTGAAGCCCTAAACACTTCCAAAATGGGAAGTACCTATGAAAATATATCTTCTGCCGTCTCCCACTGATTCTCCACCCATCCCCCACTGGCACTGTGTGATAGCTCATGGAGAAATCTGTGAAAGCCGCATGCCACCTTGGAGTGTCTTCTGAAGAGGAGGCAGGCAGGATGCCCAGAAATTGGGTGTTCTCAGTTATGGTTGCATATTGTCTCGGATCCAATCGAGGTAATTCACTACCTTGGTATATACACCGGGAAGGTCCTTCTGCCCACAGCCAATGCCCCAGCTGATGATGCCAACCAAAACCATGCGGTTGTCCTTCATACACACCAAGGGGCCTCCTGAGTCACCCTGCGAAAGAGAGCAGGTTAGCTGTTTACAACAGAGTATGTGAAGGAGAAGTTTGGGTTCAGATAGTAGTGTTGATACTACATTGCTTCAAAGTGCTTTGTTCCAAGAGGGAACGTTTTATCTCAGAGAATCAGATGTCTCTGCTGTTATAAAGTAGCACTGAGATAACTGCTCAGACATTTCAGCTCTCCACCCTGGTTTAAACTCCACCACTTACTTGCTGTGTCACCACAGGCTAATTGTGCTTCAGCATTTAGTTGTTAGGGGAATTACTTGGGAGAAAGCCTGAAAAATGGCTGAGGATAGTATATGACATTTAGTGAATTTTTAGTTGCTGTCAGCTCTCCTTGTCTTACTGAATCCAAATAATGTTTTATTTTTAATTTGCAGCTTTTGATAGGGGTTTCATTTTGGATACACCCATACACCCTTTTTTTTTTTTTACGTCTATGAAGTTAGATGACAAGATGGAGGTTTCTGAGGAAATCATCAAAAAGAAATGAAAGACCCAAGGGGGAGTAAAGAATGCTGGCATGATTACTTTATAAGAACAGAATCCAGGCCCTCCCTGGTGGCACAACAAGTTAGGAGCAGCACTGCAAGCTGGCCACAGCTGCTTTAATGCAAGTTTGATCCAGGGCCCGGGAGCTGATCCACATGGCGTGGCAGACCTCTCCTGACCCGCCCGCTGCTCCCCTCAGCAGTGTACTTCGTCGATCTGCCTGTTCTGCTCCCCACTCTGTCTCTGGTGAATCCTCTCACTGCCCCTGCACCTCTGGCCTGTAGCCCAGTTCTGTATGAATAAATAAATAAAAAACAGAATCCACAAGGTCTTCCTTTCAAGAGCCTGTCCTTAACTTCTCTTTGTATCCCCCTGTACCTTCAGGTACAGTCCTCATGAAAATGACTGATCATTAACAGTTTGTTGGCTAAATTTAGGTCCCAATACCTAAGCCTGTGATCTGTGTCTCATATCCCAGAGTCTTGTTATCATGAAAGATTAAGTACTAGCTCTGATAAGCACTGTGACACACAGAGCCTGAAATAGCTTGCTTTTCAGGGGATACGGCCTGGATATGTGCTTTTTAAAATATATTTCCCACAAATCCTTCTACAAACACTCCAATTCTCCAGCATCTGCAGAAGTTAAGAATTTCTTTATTTGTATGTCTTTATCCATCACTTCAAGAGCCAATCAATCACCTGGGCTTATAGGAAATCCTGTACTAGGTGGAGTTTCCTGTACAGATATGGAGGAAATTTCCTGCAGCTTAGATTTCTGAACTTCTTGTAACTTTGATCAGTCTCCAGTTACTTTATTCTGTGAGGCCCTTATCTACTATCCCTAGTGCCTCACTGACACGAAACCTCTCCATTCCTGCTCCGATTTCCTTGTTAAGAAGACCCTGTTGGCCCTCCCTGGTGGCGCAGTGGGTTAAAGCACAGCACTGAGAAGCTAAAGCCACTTCCGCATGAGTTCGATCCCTGCCTGCCCCGGAGGTGACCACATGGCGCGGCAGACCTCTCCTGACCTGCCCGCTGCTCCCCTCAGCAGTGTACTTTGTTGATCTGCTTGTTCTGCTCCCTGCTCTGTCTCTGGTGAATCCTCTCACCCTCTGCATCTCTGGCCTGTACCCCAGTTCTGTATGAATAAATAAATCTAAAAAAAAAAAAATTACTTTAAGAAGACCCTGTTGGCCAAACCCTCAGAAGTGTGGCCCTGCTTACCTTGCAGGCATCGTGGAGGTTGACTTGGGCTCCTCCACTTCGCGTGTCCCCAGCACACAGCATGTTGTTAGTGACAGTTTTGTTATGCAGATGCTGTGATGTGCAGCGGCTGGCGGGGTACAGCCTGACATGACCCTCCTTCAGGCGCTCAGAATAGAAAGGAGAAACTGAAAGAGAAGAGGGAGAGGTCTAATGGCTTTAGGGAAAGTTATTTGTAAACCTTTGGAAGGGGAAATCTAATTTCCCTATTGCTAGTATTTATCAAGGCTTTATACATGTTAGGTTGGGCCTTATAAAGTTACCAATATTTTATTTATTAAGTTTCACCCAGGATTTTACAATAGCACTATTGATATTTCAGATCAGATAATGGGGCATGGAGGTTGTCCAATGCATTATATTGTTTGCCAGCTTCCCTAGCTTCCACTCACTCACTGCCAATATATACCTCCACCCTGACTTGTAATAATCAACAATGCCTCTAGACATTGTCAAGTGTCTCCTGCGGGTCAAAATAACCCCAGCTGAGAAGCTCAGGTTTAACCTAATATTTACTTTAATCCTTATAATCTAAGGAGGTAGCTAATTCTATCCCCAGTTTACCAATGAGAAAACTGAGACTCGGAGCACTGTAAAATAAAAACCTAAGCCTTGGGTCATGTGGTGAACAAGTCATAGGTGGAGGGTTTGAGCTCAGGTCTGCACAACTGAGGAGTCAGGACCCATATCCTTAACTCGCCTGATAGCAGAACCTCTCTGAAACCTTAAGCTCCCCAAAGCACTTGCTCTATTCAGACTTTTCTTGATCTGCAGGGCATGCCTGTGAAGTCGGGAAGGCAGAAGCTGGCTCTCACTAGGTAGGGGACTGTCTACGTTCTCATGGTGACAGTGCTGGACTGAGGCCAGCACCACACTCGTGACCACTTTTCTATCTGGTCAACGTCCGCATCCCCTGCTGTCTGCAGACAGACAGGATGGGGCCCAGACTTCCTTCCACTTACACTCTTCATGCCTGCCGTAGCCAGACAGCTCACATTCTGTCCAGTCAGGCAGCTGCAGGTTGGCTTCTGGGAGACAGACAGTGCGGACAGCATCGCTCTCCTGGGTGCAGTGGGGTGACTCTGATTTCAGCTGCAGAAGAGCTAGGAGGGTGAATCAGGAAGAGATTGAGTCCTGCATGAAAGGCTGTGTTGCGGCCCTCCCTGGTGGTGCAGCGGGTTAAAGCACAGCACTGAGAAGCTAAAGCCACTTCAGCATGAGTTCGATCCCCACCTGCCCCTGAGGTGATCCACATGGCGTGGCAGACCTCTCCTGACCCGCCCACTGCTCCCCTCAGCAGTGTACTTCGTCGATCTG